AAAGTATTGACTTACTGGTTAAGCCCATGTAGTAGATATTTTTTATACATCGGACAGTTCCATTATAAGTAAGGTATGGTATGCAATAATAATGTAAAATTTATTAAACAATTATTCGATTTTAATTTTGCAACTAGTCAGAATGTTCAAATATATTAAAACCTTATATTAACGACAAATATAACAGCTGATACGAGTATTGATGTCCGCAATGTAAATAAATATTCGTCAAATTTTGTATACAAGGCACACCCTGTCCTTGTTTACATTTGCATGTCTGCACGTATGGCGGCGCCTACTGCTCATTTATAGGTCATTTATTGATGCAGTGTTTAGGCCATTTCATCATTCATTGCAGGTACGAAATTATAATTTACAAAAATAGCAACAAAACAAGACTAGACCAACCAACTAACCAACCAGCCAACAAATTTCACTTTCATTCGGCGCGCGGCCCTTCGTTGCTACACCCTTATACTCGCTTATAGCGAACTATTGATCCTTTGGCTCATGGCCCCGATGCGGTTTTCCGTTTTGTACGCTGCGGTTTTTACATTTAGCAGCGCGAATTCACGCTTGACCACACTTAGTTGGAATTCATTTGCTGAAATATGCTCATATAATGAAAATAGCGCCCAGCCAAATGATAACATTTTTTTTCTTTCCTTTTTTTGTTTTTGTTGCCGCAATGCACTAACGGAAATATTGATTAGAGACACGTTGAACTATTGCACATCAATACACATACCCGCAAGCACACACACACGAGTGCTTGTAGCGGTGCATTACACCGGTAGTATCGGCATAATGATCCCTTTGCGGTAATTGCGCTGAAGCTCATTACTTACATCGTGTTTCTATGTGTGTGTGTGTATGAAATGAAAATTTAATTGAAAGCGAAATAGTAATGAGCAACAGACTGGAATATGGACAAACAGTGTATTATGTTAGCGGTACACGGGGCGTATGAGCGACTTTAGGGTAAGTAAAGGTAACAGTCTAAAACGGCAATATTTTGGAATTATAAAAAAATCTAAACTCTCTACAATTTAAGCTATGTATAAATTTAAATTTAAATGAGTATAAATTAGTGCGAAACAGTACAATTAAAAAAAAAAAAATTTTTGGATTACTCGCGATCTTTGTCTGCGTTTAAAAAAGTTGTATTCTACTACTGCAGCAAATCCTTTATTCTCCGTAGAGGAAAAAGATCATTACTAGATAATATTGTCCCTATAATGACCTAAGAAAGAAAAAAATTAAAAATTCACAAAATATCCGTGTTTGAACAAAAAGTTGAATTTTATCAAAAATTTTGGTAGGCCAGATCAATGGCGGGTCATTATATGGACAAGTACATATATATGTATGTACCATATATATAGAACAAATTTATAATCATACAAACAAATTCGAAAAAAAAATTTGGTGAAAAACGGGTTTAAATATAAACTGATTGAGCTAATTGAACTGACACTTTAAAAAGCTTTAAACTATATACATATATGTGTCTAAATAGATATCTATTTTACTAAAAAATTTAAGGATAATATTTTTAAAGGCCTCGTGGAAGCAGCCCTTCGAATCTGGAACTCCTGCAGCATAGTCATTGCCCCAAAGTGAGGTTTACGACTCCACAACGGCCTATTGGCTCTACACAAGTGACATCCGCCCCATACTAACATATGGCGTGGCGGGTGGCATTATCAGAAAAATGCAGCATTAAACCTCTGGAAGAGGTGCAACGGTCCTGCTTGCTGGAAATTACCGATGCATTGACAGCTACGTCAACAAAGGCTCTGGAGATTATCCTCGGTCTCGGGCCAATACATATTCAAGTAAAGTATGAAGCAACGCTTACGGCCAGATGGCTAATGATCGGAACCACACTCTGCGTTACTACGAGCCTGGTATCAGGTTTCAGGCTAAATTGGCGATGCGACCGAGAAAAGGAGATCCATGAGAATTAAACACAACGTTTTTATTCTGAAATAGGAACAGGAGCGGGCTTCTTCTGTAGTAAACCATACACATAGGGTAGCTTCAAACTAGTCAACAAATACAAACGCCAAGTGAGCATCTGCTCCAACCAGCTAGTTCATAAACCTTCTAGTGGACAGCCAAGTGGCAATTAAGGCTATTCGACGCACCAATACTAACTCTCACTGCGTTGGGTTATGCAAGCAGGCAAATACTAGACTCACAGTAGGTAACTCGGTTAATATCATCTGGGTACAGAATTATATAAGAATTGGAGGAAATGAAAAGGCAGACGAATAAGCTCACTCGGAGCAACTGAGAACACATTTCCCCTAATCTGCCCTAGACCATTCAGCTGCTTCAAGGGTTGTCTGAAGCAATGAAAACTAGTGGAACACCACAAGTCTTAAAACACTAGCGACACAGGGCATATCACGAAGTTACTTGGGGATAGTGTTGATGATGATCGGACCAAAAAGCGTCCACTTCTAGGCAAAATTTAACTAAGCAAGCCCCCATTCAGAAAATTGGAAAAGTAGATTCGGCGGAATGCAACGCATGCGAAGAGAAAAATGAGACGCTGGAACATTATCGATATGAATGCACAGCAATCAGCCGGATTGAGGTGGAAAAAACAGGGTTTTTTACCAAATCCACTGGGTTCCTGGATAATGCTTAATTTTGTTACCATACGGGAGCACTATGGGCCTAATGATGTCCTAAATACAGCCGCCTGCGGTCTATCGCTTATGCGCCTCCTTTTTCAACCAACCAACCAAACCTACTGCTAAATGATAACAGCTTCTCTAAATACACGGTTTGAGCCTGACATGCAGAAGTCAGGGGTTAAATAAAACCTTTGGTCTAAAAAGCGGTGTTTTTTTGTTTCCAGTGATAGCTTGATCGATCAATCTGTATGGTAGCTATGTATGTATATGCTGTAATGGTCCGATTTCGTCGGTTCCGACAAATGAGCAGCTTCTTGGGAAGAAAAGAACTTGTGCGAAATTTCAGAACGATATCTCGAAAACTGTATAGATGGGCAGACAGGCAGAAGTGGCTGAATCGACTCAGCTCACCACACTAATCATTTATAAATATATTTCATGAGGTCTCCAATGTTTCCTAGTGGGTGTTGCAAACTTCGTGGCGTACTTAATACATATTACCTGTTCAGAGTATAAAAATAATATGTTAAAATTCCATCAGTCGTTCGATGACGCCTTATATAAACGATATGTGAGACAATCTGACTCGGCTCTATTATGTACGAAATTATGGCGAATACCAATGAAAACACTCATTAATAACACTTAGTACGTGTATGCATATGTATGTATGTAGAAAGTACACTCAGGTAATCGCCTGGTTACATATTTACGCCGCACTATCAATTACAAACACATGTTCGATGCAAATTTACACGCTTTGGCAAGCGTGATGTAAATGCCACATCACCACCTCTCAATGGAATATGCGCGCACATCCCCACACACACACACATGCACGTGCAAAGAAATACGCGAAGCGTACGTGCACTTGTTGCCACGTATGCAGAAAAATTACAATAAACTCGTTAACGGTACCGTAGAGCGCGTGCACGCATGTGCATTTGTTTTGTTTTTACCACATTAGGCAAACAAACATACACAGTTATGTGCGCGCATGTGTGGTTATATTTCCATGCAACACAGCGCAAACCTAGCCACAGTTGCATAAAAGTACATACATACATACATATGTGGGTGTGTGTGTTTTTGCACGCGAGCTTTTGCCGTCCGTGACGAAAGGTAAAGGCGCAAACACAAATCAAACCGGGCGTAAAGGCGTGAACCAATTTGCCAAACCCTCTTTTATGCATCAACGTGCGTATGCAAACATTTCTTTGTATGTTTGTGTGCGCACATACCCATACTGCAGTTGCACGTGAACGAAAACCTCGAATTGCTGCCGTTAACAGTTTGTAAAACAGGAGGTTATCAAATTCTCTACATTTTTATGAGTTTTTTCAGAAACAACACTTGCTAAACTCGTTCAAAGTTTTTTAGTGATAACAAAGATTCCTACCGAAGCATATATTCATATACGAAGCATTTAACGGTAAAGCGTTTTTTGTACAGTTTTGCAGCAAACCGTTAAACTTAACTTCAAAAAACACTAATAGCTGATTTTGAAACCAATTTCTTCAGTAAGATCCAAGCCGGTGAATATATTGCAATATTGCACTCTAAATATTGTAGTTCCTTCTTTCCTAAAATAAAGAACTTTGAAATATTCACTCGATTTTCCGCTACAAAGGGTTTTAAGTCATTTACATTTCTTACACACTTTTTGAATATTTCTCAGCCTCATTCCGGCGGTTTGTCTTGCTGTAGCTCCTTGCTTTACATACGCACATACATACATATGCATCATATGTGTCCATATTAGGTTTCGAATTGGAATTGCATGCAGCACACATTGTCGCGACTTTGAAATTTCTCCATTTAGCGCGCAAATGGGAAAAAATGGCAAAAAATGGTTTACCTTAAATTGAAAAACTTGTCGCTGCGACTTGCGTTTTCTCTGCTTGCCACATGTCATTTACGCTCCACTCCACTGTAACCCTTTGATGCTATTACATTTCACTTAGTTGCATACTTATAGCCGTTTATACATACTCGTATGTACATAAGTGTATTCAAACCTAGATACACTTTTAGAACGCTGTGACATTGGAATTTCTAATTACACTCGAAAATGACGCACAACATAAACAAAAACACAGCCAACGGCCTTCATAACAGCGCACATTTTACCAATGTCTGCTTTTACAGCTACGTAAAATATATTTTCTGTTGTTGTGGTATTTTCTGATAAATATTGCTGTCTAAAATTTATAAAAAAAACGGTCAATACAAAAAGAGTACTGTGAATACGCTACTAACTTGTTTAGTAGGCGTATCTAAAAGAAATGAGCACCCATTATTGTAACGGCACTTATTAACTTTGCAAAAATTGTACATTCACAAAACATTTAATTTGCGAAATTTGAAAAGTATGTTTATATTTGTAGCTAGTTCTAAAAACACTAATTTCAGAACCTTATTAATATTAAACAAAAAAGTTTTGAACTGATTTCGTAAGCTATATTGTATATACATACATACTTCGCTAAGAGTTTTAATTACAAAAGAAGTTTATGCTAATTACACATGCTCTTAAAAATATTTTAGTTTATTTATACCTATATATATGTAGTTATATAAAAAGGGCACAGCACGGGTACTTTGGAGCTCTATTCAATTATGTTTTTGCTTATAAATAACACCGGTCAGTTCTCCATCCTTTTTGATGATGCAACGCCTAGAAAACGAGAATTATAAAAAATCTATATAAGCGTATAATTCTATACATTCATCACAATCTTATAGAATTTATATAGCTAGGCTTTACACAGTACGGCAATTTTTGGAATATGGTGTCATACTTTCGATAAGCTGCAAGTTCTTGTTATTTATTTGTATTTTTGCAACAATTTATTTTGTAAAAAATTTCTTTGCAAAAAATTTAATTTAAAACAAGAAAAGAAAACGTTAACATTGGTTGCACTCAAGTTCAGTTTGTATGGCAGCCATACGCTATAGTTGTCCTATCTGAGCAATTTGTTTGCACATTGAATTGTTAATTTAGACAATAAACCACTTTTGGTGAAGATATCTCGTCAAATAAAAAACTTTTTTTAGAGATTAGTTCTAATAAAGACATTATTTTTTTTAATTTAAGCAATTATTCAAAATTTCACTAGCAGAAATAAATTAATTTTCAATATAAGAAAATGTATCCGACACAGTGGAAAAAATTTATTTAATTGTATTTGCACTTACTTGTTCCCACTGTACAGACAGATAGTCGGTGGATTCAAATTGGGTTCCAGTTTGCACACTTGTTCCGAGATAGCCATACCAATACCAGATACATTAGGATTAATTTGACCTTTTGCTAGCGGTGAGTGAGAGGAATAATAAGTTTTTCTATTCTCCAAACACTTAATTTAAATTGCTTACCTCCAAGACAAAGACCTTGACGATTGGCCAGCAACACACCCACTGTGTCCGGCTGGGAGGCACTGCGTACAAATAAACATAGTAAAACAAGAAATTCAATATTTTAAACGTATTCTGTTAGAACTCACAACTCATTAAGGGCCTTTTCTAATTGCTGCTCCATGTTTTATTAAAGTCACTGTATAGTTTTACTAAAATTTATGTCCTGAGAAAATCGTAAGCAAATTAAGAGTTTCCTAACAGCTGTTTCAATTTGTAAATGTCATCTCGTACTAGTTAGAGAGCAAAAACGGTTATCGGTAATATTATAATAAACGATAACTGCAATCGATAAAAAATTTAATGTCTGATTTTATATAGCTTAAACTATATTAACACTTCTTTTATGAAAATTTACTGGGAAATTGTCAGCCAAAGTAAAACTGCTCTTTGAAATTCCTAACAGGGAATATTAAGTTTGCCACGAGGTTTGTAACATATAGAAGGAAACGCCGGAGAGCCTATAAAATGTACATAAATGGTCAGTATGATGAGCTGATCCGATTTAGCCATGTCCATATGTCTGCCCCTCGCATATATACCCGGACTTGTCTCTCAGTTTTTGAGATATCTACCTGAAATTTTGCGCACGTTCTTTTCTCACCAAGAGACTGCACATTTGTCGGAACAATTAAAATCAAGTCGTAATATGGAAACATTTTTTATTTGACGACATACCTATTTTCACGAAATTTGCCATTGGTTTTTTTTTTCAAGGCAACGGTGCATTCTACGAAGAAACTTTTCAGATCGAACACCTACAGCATATAGTTGCCATCCAAACCAATCCTAATAAAGTTCTTGTAAGGAAACTCTTTTTTATTTGTGAAGGGTATTTTAGCTTCGGTTATCGTTTTTTCTTCTTTTCCCCCTATTAAATGTAGCCTAAGACAGAACCCCAAAATTCACTGTGTATTACAATCCAAAACATTTCATTTGGTTATCGCGACGTTCGATGATATTGGTCAAACTTTTAGCAAGAGCTTTTAGAAATATGTTGATCTCCAATTTAAACTTATTAAAATACTACACAGTTTTATAACCTAAATATTTATTTATGAATATAGCTGTATTATAAACCATTGCAATCAATGCTTACATGTGTATATTATAATTACATAGAGTTTGGCCAACAAAAATCATTTTAAAGTTCTAAATCAGATATATATAAAATTATGTAGTAATATAAGTTTGGAATTACAATATACTGTTAGTTTAAAAACTATTAACAAGAAATACCGGGATTACACCATTTTAAAGTTCACAATTGTCGATGGCAAATATTATTTATTATTCAACGCAACAACGCAACGAATCCGTGTATGTTTGAGCCAATGAAAACAAACAGTATATATGTATAAATAAAATGGTAAGAATTCATGTAATAATGATAATAGTAACTTCCGTTACACGCAGTTTACATTCGGATGTGGAAAGTGTAAGTGATATATATAAGTTTTAAACAATTTCATATTTTTCAACAAAAAGCATCGTTTCGGTAGAATATTTTACCGTGCTATCGTCATCAACAAAAAGCACATCCGTGGCGCTTAGAGCAGCATATGGCGTTTTCGATACGAAGTTAACCTAAATAAAAACATATTGTTGGTGTGAGTTTTGTTAAAACTAACTTTTCTGGTATATAACATACTTGTAGTGGAAAGAAATCGCCTGAAATAGATGAATTGCAGCTGAACTCCATCGAACCAGATGTATTGTTTTTGTCAATAATGGGTATATTCCACTGTAGTATATGCTTTCGTGCATCATAATTGTATGTGCCATCATACTCAGCCACAGACGGCTGTACATTCATACTGTATATAAAAATTTATTTAAGGAAAACATTAAGAAGCATATAATTAAAGATTACTTACGGCAATGGTATGGAGATGGTTACATCTTGCAATTCTAAATGTTGCGCTTCTAATTCGTACTCGATATTTACATCACAGCCACCTTCCCCGTTTTCAGACGGCCAGCAATTAACTATAATTAATTAAGAAATATTTACATAAACAACACATATGAAAAACAATAATTACTTGTCAATGGTATGGCAGCTTCATCCTGTGTAATAAAACGCCATTTCAATACACCAACATCTGTATTTAATGGGAATGGTTTAGCTGGGTTTTTTAGCCCGATTAATGAACGTGTCTTAAACAGCTCCTTATCCACATTTGGATGTGTTTGTAACTGTATGCCATGGGTATCATCATTACGTAATTGCACCTTAATACGTCCGAAAGTTTCATCAGAAATACGCAGTGTTAATAAACCTGATAGTTCGAACTGTTGCAAACCACCATCGCGACCAAGACGTACTGTAAGTTTATCTTCCATTTTGAGATGTACACTATTAAATGTATAGAAAATTTTAGAGTATTAATAAAGAATAAAAAAAAAGTATAATTATTAAATACTACCTTTCAGTGTGCACATCCGAAGCAATTTTAGTCTTAGCAACGGCCACGCTGCTTTGGCTATTTACAGGTGTCAAAGCAGAAATCTTTTCACCCTCGCTCTTTAGTTGATCAACGAAACTGTCTACATCTTTCGTTTTGCCACCCAATTTTAAAGCATTACGTGCAACTGGTTTCCTGTTATTATATTAAATATTTTTTAAAAGAAATTATTATTTTTTAAGATTACGACTTACTGTGCCTTTGTCACGGCTGGTTTCAAATCGGACTCAATTGATGGTGCACTGCTTATCGAATTGGAACTTATGCCAAAAGCATCCATGCCACTGCTGCTACTTCCATGACCACCTCGTCCAATCAGCGAAGAACTAACACCACGTTTGGCCGCCTCCAAGCGTTGACGCTGCAACTCTTTAGCTTTTTCGCGCATTTTTTGATGCGCCTCGCGTTCTTGCGTTTGCCGAACTGCTTGATAAACCTTCTCCTCGTGTGAATCCATTTCAATAAATGTTTTGATCTGCTTCAAATTGACGCTCTCGCGATAACCAAGAGCAACAATTTCATCAAAAGCAAATATCAAATTGAATGCATTTTCAAGAATTTCCTTTTCATCTAAACTATGGCAATATTCAGGAATCTGTTGTAAATGTTTTACATTAAAACTACGCATGATAAAAACGTGAAGAAAGATCTTACCACTTTGGAGAATAAGCGCAGTGTTTCTAGATCTTCCAAAATATTACTAGCTTTTGTTGTGATTAGCAACATATAAAGCTTTTCCATTGGTTGATACACATAACGCACGGACTCTGTTTCCACGTATGTATGTTGCTTTCCTGATGTCATAAGCTTTGGAAAAGCAGCAAGCAACCCCTCAATCCGTGCTTTAGTCATCTCCACAAACTGTCGTGATATAATCACTGTTTATAGAAAATAGTAGGAGTTTAAGTTATATACAGGTATATATACAATGCAATTATTTTATAAATTATATATAAATGTGTATGCAGATACGTACCTTTGCCATTTTTTGTACACACCGCTGCAGCTATCAAAACCTGCAAACACGACGAATAGGAAATGTATTTCTATGGCATATCACAAGCCAATGGCCTATTTCTTTATGCTTACCATTATGCTAAATTTGTTTAAAATATTTAGAACCCTTTAATAAAGCTAAAAGAATAATTAAGACAATTTTTTACAAAATTTTGTCGAAATTCTCTCGCTTCGTAGCTGACGTGTTAGATTAATGTACGATGAAAATGTCAAATTTTCAACGACTAGTAGGGATCGATATTTTGTTGCCGATAACTAATCAGAAACGATATTCTTTGCCTCAAACAGGAATTATTATATACACGTAGTAATCAGAAATTAAAGAATATTTATAATTATGAAGATAACTCTTTGGCCTTGAATAAAAATATGGTCATGTTAAAACCAGTAAACTATATGCAAAACTTATACATCAAACTTAGTTTAACACATATATGTTAGTATCGATTTAAAGTCATCTCTGAACTTTAAGTTTTTTGAATAGCTAAGTCAGTATTACATATCTTTAAATTAAGTTTTTCAACATAATTTCATTAATATAAAATTTCTGAAATAACCGATTTTCTTTCGATTGCGTATATAAAATAAAGTGAATGCCAAATAAGGGAAATTACTAATTGCCAATTCAACAATTACTAGTTATACAACACTGTTTTCTCTTGACAGTTAAAATTTTGATTTGGCGCAATTGCAAAAAAGAAAGAAAATAGTCCGTACGAAAAGTTTAGCAATTCCTACTTAAAGAAAGATAATTTCTGTACTCATGAGTTTTGAAGATTCAATAAATGCATATTTCGTTACAACAGGAACGGTGGATGATCGCAGCTCCTCAAAATGCGCTGATTTGGAAACGGCATTTTCACATCTTTGCGAGCATATAGCTGAAGAAAAAATAAGGCGTATAAATGCCATTGATGGATTTCCACTTATCGCTTCAGGGCAGCTTACAAAAAAGGATGTATTCATTTTCGACCAATTTGAAGGAGATTTTTTTAAGCAACTCCAACTAACGAAATCACTTATAATAGGACCGCGATGCCTTATAACTTGCTTGATAAATTCGCTACCAGTGCCTCTTGGCACTAGTCCAATTTATACAACGGCAATGCGCGATTTACACATTTGTGCTACAGGCATACCGGTAGATCAAAAGGAACGAGTTCGCACATATATCCAATGGATGGGTGGTTACTATTTTCAAAATCTTAGTCGTCCAGTTACACATCTCATATCGAATACGATTAAGTCCACAAAATACGAACATGCGACGTTGAATGGCATACCGGTGATGCATGTTGACTGGGTACAACGAGTCTGGGAACGCAGTTCGGTTGACGATGTTGCCGCAACTGACGAAGAGTTCGACAAGTATAAGTTACCGATATTCTTCGGTACAAACATCACTTGCACGGGACTGGAAACTGATAAGAAAAATGAGGTAAATATGAAATTAAAAACATTTCTATCTTGACTAGATAATAAATAGACGAAATATTGCAGATAATGCGTCTGGTGAATGAGAACGGCGGAACTTATCATTCTGCATTTCGATCAGCACTTGTTGATATAGTCATTACCGAACGGGGAAATACCAATTCGGATAAGTATAAAGCCGCTGTGCGTTACAAAAAGGACATACTTTGCCCTGAGTGGATATTTGATAGTGCAGAAAAAGGTTTTGCTTTGCCTACAAAAGGCTATCAAGTGAAGTCCTTAAAGGTTTCAACGCCAATCAAAGGCGATCGTACTATCGCTGATTTTACCCAGCTCTCCGACACATC